TTAAACCTTGACAATTTATTCATTTTTAATTTTTCGCAAAAAATCATGGGGTACCCCCTTATAAAAAAATTAAAAATTGGCGAAAATTTTATTTTTCCAAAATTACACGGAAAGTTTAATGGATTTATAGCAAATTTTGTTATCTGTTCAAAACAGTATGAATTTTTGGTGTAGGACCATTTTTGGCCAAGTTACAGCAAAAAAACCATAAGAAAAAATTCCAATTTTTGTCAAAAACTGAAATCGCGAATTTCCAAAAAAAAAACCAAACCCGTTTTTTCGCTAAAACGTTGCAGTTTTTTCGCTATAACAAAGCAAATACTGATTCAAAGTATGGATTGTCATACCTTTCTGAACTCGTTATTAAATTTCCTAACGATTGGCATTTAAACCTTGACAATTTATTCATTTTTAATTTTTCGCAAAAAATCATGGGGTACCCCCTTATAAAAAAATTAAAAATTGGCGAAAATTTTATTTTTCCAAAATTACACGGAAAGTTTTATGGATTTATAGCAAATTTTGTTATCTGTTCAAAACAGTGTGAATTTTTGGTGTAGGACCATTTTTGCCCAAGTTACAGCAAAAAAACCAAAAGAAAAAATTCCAATTTTTGTCAAAAACTGAAATTGCGAATTTCCAAAAAAAAACCAAACCCGTTTTTTCGCTAAAACGTTGCAGTTTTTTCGCTATAACAAAGCAAATACTGATTCAAAGTATGGATTGTCATACCTTTCTGAACTCGTTATTAAATTTCCAATCGATTGGCATTTAAACCTTGACAATTTATTCATTTTTAATTTTTCGCAAAAAATCATTATAAAAAAATTAAAAATTGGCGAAAATTTTATTTTTTTCAAAATCTCATGGAAAGTGTTCTGGATTTATTGATAATTTTGTTATCTGTTCAAAACAGTATGTATTTTTGGTATAGGACCATTTTTGGCCAAGTTATAGCAAAAAAAACCAAAAGAAAATATTCCAATTTTTGTCAAAAACGGAAATTTTTGAAAAAAAAACGGGTTTTTCGCTAAAACAAAGCAGTTTTTTCGCTAAAACAAAGCAAATACTGATTCAAAGTATGGATTGTCATACCTAATAAATAAAATTTCCTTTATTAATAAAAAGACCAACACTTTTATCCTTTTATATAGTTTCTATAGTTTATTTCTCATTATAGGTTGTACAGCTTACACGGTTTCTGATCGCTTTGGATAGCACTTTCTCCATTTGCTTTTTTTGATTTTCCTCGGCAAGTCAGGAGCTTTCTCCTGCTTTTCCTCTGATCTGGATGTGATTTTATAGTCGCTGCTTTCTTTTCTGATTTCTTGTTTTTATTGTATACGAATTTGTTAATCTTAAGTTTATATTTGATTCGCTAAAAACTCATTTTAAAAAAGTACTTTGTTTTCTTGTGTTTTTGTATTCATTTTCTATCGATTTCGTTCTGCATAATATTTAATTTGTTGTTAGGCCATTGGTTAGCAATAATAATCGTAATAATCATATGCAAGTAAATTGTTCAAGTTGGATATTACTGAGTGGTTAGATAAGTAGTTCTTGTTGTAAACATTTTCAATATGCTGTGAAAAATATACATACAATACAAACACATCAATTTTCGAACCACACACAAGTCGATAATTAATCGTTTATCGTTAATTGTTCATCGTGTCTTTTTGTTTCTGGCTAGGAATCACAGTATTGTGCAAATTACCTTTATTAATTTCGAAAATGTTTTGCTTGGAATGCTGTTTGCTTTCGGTTTTCTGAATTCCGAATCCCTCAAGCGGCGCTTATTGAAGTGTGTATATGTTTATGATTCTGTAAATGTAAATGTTTATGTAAATAGAACCCGACACAGGCAGTGCAGTTGTTGTTGTTGTGGTTCTCTCGCTATTGACAGCGATATCGATATCGCTTTCCCTGGCTCTGTCATCGAAGACGAACGATTATTTCGATAATTCCACTGATGAACACTTTAGTTTTAGTACACGACAAAAAGGGGAAATATTAGTTTAGTTTTTCGGCTTTCCACATTGTTATTGACTATTTTGAGTTTTTGTTTTTGGGAAATCACAATATCTATGCAAAATCTTATACATCTCTCTATATGTTTTGTGTATGTATATATATATATATATATATCGCTTTGTCGTGAACATTAGATTTAGATCGTTGTCCTCTATACTGTAAATATATATCATATATCCATATATATACGTTTGTATAGCAAGTTTTGTTTGTATTGTTTTTGTAGTTATTTTGTCTTGTTGTCCTTGCATGTCCTTTCTGATCTAGTTTCCGTTTCCGTTTCCTACTCCCCTCCGCTCTGTATCATATACCTCCTCGTATATCTGTTATATCAATCGTTGGGATATGCGTGGTGCAGGTGAATTGTGTGTGGATCGTTCGGTTGTCTCCCAATTTTTGTGTGGGTTCGGTTTTCGGGGAGGTATGGGTGTTGGGTGTTGGGTGTTGGGTGTTGGGTATTGGTATTCGATTCGATTGAAAGCTATGCAAAAGCCGGGGATTATAGTTCATTACAAGTAGCTAATTGAAATAACAACAAACAGAACGCACAAAATATTAGTCATTAAATTACACGACTTCCCCTCCATCTTTTTCTGTTCTTTTCTTTTCTTGTTTAAATCTATGCAAAAATTTGACTAAGCAACCCTGTATGTTCGTTAAAGACCAAATTATCATAAGCTTATATATCCACCTAAAGTACTTAAAGTAAAGTACCTAAAGTACTAATTCGCAAATAAATCTGAACCGATTCGAATTAACGTTTCAAAAACAAAGTCCGTTCTGGGGATTGTGTTCATTTTTCGGGTGTCGACCTAAGTGCAGTGTGTACTCCAACAAATATATATTAGTAGATATATTCGGATCGAGTTTCTTACAAAGTTCAAAGCGTTTCTTCTCTCAAAGCGGCAAAGAAGATTTCGAAAAAACGAAAGGGGTGTTTTTATGTCTTTGTTTTTCATTTATTTTATTGTGTTTGTTTGTGTTTAGATTCTAATGCCACTTTGTGTGTTTTAGTTTTTAGTTTAAAAAAAAATTATGAATACATGGTTATTATTACAGATATCTGGATTAAGTGGTTTCAACATTTCCATTCAAATAAATGAGGGAGTACTTGTGGAACAATTGTGGGTTATAGGTTATAGGTTTTTAGGTTTTTAGCTGCGTATTATAATAGGTAGGTTACAATGACCGCCACGTGCCAGTGGTTCGGGTCAACTAATTTGTTAATTAACTAATTTGCTTTACTTAAAGAATTAATGGACAAAATGAAGGGATTCTGTTTGGGGTTTAAACACTATACGCGAATACGAAAAATTGCATTAGACTATGGACGAAAATCGGAACTTATACGATATACAATATATACGAATTGCCGACGAACTGGCCCTGGAAAATCTGCTCTGCCCTTAAAGTCTTTGATTGTGGCGAAAAGTAATCGAGGTCAAGTTGAACATTTGACTTGCTGCTAATTGAACACATCGATATTTGTAGTCGTATTTGGTTAGTCGTAAATGTACTGTACTGTACTGTAAATTGATTGCAAAATAGTCAAGGCATTATCTTCGCAATTCAGTCAGTCATTGATCGAAGCTGCCCGATGGTTCTGGTCTAAGCCTTGGTTTTTGTACATGTTGAACAGATCTTAGTTTAGATTAGACTGCAATCGATGATATATCCTGAACATCCGTCGCTATTGCCTCCATTCCCTCTCGATCCCTCGACTTGGTTTCCATTTAGACATAATAATCCTTGTGCCACTAGTAACTAAAGGGTATTTTTGTAAAAAAAATTATTACACAAACAGGCTTCATTATTAATTGTTCTTTTTCTTCTTCCCCATACATTTTTTTTTAACGTTTACATTCATTTTTGGTTTTCTTTTTTTTAAGCTTATACAAAAGTTTTTGGTTTTTTTTTTCTTGAAAAGGCGTTCAACTGTTTGCTAGAATAATTTTATAAGCCAAAAGAAGCAAAATTATATGCTTTAAATTCATGCGAGTTTTTCTCTTCACTTTACAATTGTTTTCGTTTTTTATATAATTATAATGTTGTTTCATTTTTTGCAGACACTTAAAGCAGTTTTCGTTTTACACATAGAATTACACAAAGTTTTTTTTGTTTTTGGTTTTAGGGGGCGTTTGAATCGTTTCGAAGAAAATCAGGAGAACAGGGGGGCAAATGATGAGTGCCAGCCACCTTAGCCTCTTAGACGTAGGTGGCCACGGCTCCGGCAGCAGCTCCTCCATTGCTGGCCGAGGCTCCTCCTGCAACGGCTCCTCCTGAAGATCCCGATGGGCCGGCTGCCTCCGATCCTCCTCCTCCGCCGGCAGTTGGCGCCGGCTGATGCGCCGCAGCGGAGTTGTTCAGCGGCTGTGGACTGACCGGCGGCTGCAGCTTGCCGGGAACATACTGGCCAATGAAGGAGCCGTCCTCGGTGAATTGTCCTGGGGTGATAGAGTAATAATTTATAATTATTTCAAGGAAATATAATTCGTCCAGTTCTTGATCTTATCTAGGGTGTTAATATTTAATTATTAAGGTTGCCTTAACATATCAAATTGATATTTAAAAGTGCAAAATGATATTGTGTTTTCATTGGGTTAGTTATTATTATGTTTATGATTCATGTAAGACCACAACCAACACCAGTGGAATTTCGTATTGTTTTTTATCGCGATTTAATATTATTGCAAGTTAGTTTTGTTATTATTTTTATACCGGTTTTTTAGAGGGGCTTAAACTAAAGGGAGCTTGTTAAACTAAAAACTACTTTGGCAAGCAAACTACAAATACAAATAAATATATTAAGAAAATACTTGAGAATTTACTCAACTTTACCTTGCAAATAAGTCAGCTCAAATGAAGATTAGCCAAAAAAGAAACCTAAGTAACTGCAATAAAAAGCCTACTATGGCATGCATTTTGATAATAATTTAATAATAATTAGAAAATCTACACAGTTGTCGTTGTTTATTATTCGGTTTTCTTTATTTCATTTGATTTTCTTTCTAATTTAATATGCGAAAGTACATCAACATATGTAAAAAAAATTATATTTTCATAATCATGATGTTCTCTTCATTCATTCTTTAATATTAAATACACTGAAAAAATAGACTTCGTTTTGTCGCTGTTCCCGGTACAAACAAGGAAAACAAACAGGGAAACTTGTACATACATCTGTGGTGTATACATTTTAAAACGCTGTTTCACTGTCCAAAATTAAAGCAAAAAATTCAAAGTCATTACACGAACTAAAAAAATAAAATAAAGAAATAAAAACAAAATACACACAATAGGCTTAAATAAAGTAGTAAACATGTAAGCTAAAGGGGTTTCATTTCGATTTACGATTTACGGCCAATCTAAAACGGAGATTTTACATTCGAGTGTTGTTTTTATAAAAAAATTATTAAATTATAACTTATTTACGCTTTATATTTATAAATATATATGCATTACAAGTAGAAGAGGGGAGAGAGCGGGACAGAGATATACAGAGTGCCGGGGGACAGAGTGGGACAGGTAGACGTGTGCGCAATATAGAGATTTTAAAAGCGAGCTTCATTTTCCTCATAGTTTCTTAAATTTCTTAACAAAAAAAATTACACGCAGCTGCTGCCCGATTATTTCCGGAAAAATATATGGTTCTCCTTTATCATTGATTCGCATGCATTTTCTTTTTCGATTACTACTTCTTCCGATGAAGACTTTTATTGTGTTAATAGCCTTTTTGCTGCATCCTCGTTGTTGTTGTTGTTGTTGCTGTTGTGTTGTTCATGTTGTTTGGCAGTATTGATTTGCGTTTGTTTTTTACATATTTTTAATTTTTTAATTTTAATAGCTATATATAAAACGTCTAATTTTATATATACTTTAAAATAATCGTGGTTCTTTGCACTTAATCGAATAAAAATTAGTTGATACCCATTTCATGGCTGGGTAGTATTTCTTGAATGGTTCCATTCGTGTTTTTCTTTCTCTGCTGTGATGGTGTTTGGTCTTGTTGATTTTTGGGGTAAAGGGCTCGGTTTCGATATTTTTTGAGTTGCTGTTGCGGCGCGCTGCTTACTAATTAAATCAAAGTCCTTTGCGTCCATATTGGCCAATAAAGGATCCATCTTCGTTCATGCCTGGATATTGGTTGTCGTTGTCGATTTTTTATGGTTTTTGTTTTTATTTATTTTACGTGTTTAGGGAAAAGAAAAAATAATACAAATGTAATATAAATAAAATATAGTGCAGTAACAAAAAAATAAGTAATATGAAACATATAAACAAAGAACACATAACAAGGAACACAAAATATTTAAATCGACTGAAAATGTTTTTTTTATCGGCTATCAAAATAACGATCGCATCGATATTTTCGATATTTTTGCACCACTTGTGGATATGAGGACTCTCTTTTCTGAGAGATGGCGTTGTTAGTAATAAAAGAGAACGAACAATCAACGTCGTGCAGAGATCAATGAATCAAATCAATCAAGAGAAAGCAAAAGCGCAGGAGCGGCTTTACAACGGCAGAGGCTCTCTTCGGTTGCCTGGAAGGAGTTGGGCAGAGCCTTGAACTTCATGCAGCATCTTGGAAGCGGCAGAAAAGTGGGAGAGAATGTGACACTAACAGCTGCGGTCACAAATATAGCACTGGCAAACAATGTGTACAGAAATAAATTTTAATTTTGATTTTAATCGATTTATTTTTAATGGTTTCAATTGCATAGTACTTGAGTAAATGAGTGGTTAATGCAAATAATAAAAATATATAATTTTGTAGTGCTATTTTAATGTCCAACACTGTATTGGCATCAAGCCCTCTTTGAAGCGCAAGGAAACGAAAGAGCCGCTAAGGAAACAGGACAGCCAGCCAAACGAATAAAGGGAGAGAGCTACCTGACTGATTGGATAGCAACAACGGCGGACTGGGGAGAGAAATGGAGAGCTCTCTCTTTCTTTTCCCCACACTCTCTTTTAGGCCTTGCGGGGCTCAGCATCCGCCATGCACAGTTCGTAGGAGGGCGGGGCGGGGGAGGGGTTGGAGGTGGAAGTGGGTGAGGGTGAGGAGGAGGCCGAGGAGAGCGGTTGGAGCAATGGAACGGTTGAAGCCGACGTCGACGGCGACTGAGGTAGCGACGGTATTTGCTGTTGTTGCTGCTGCTGCTGTTGTTGTTGGGAGGACGTCGACTTGTTGCGGGCTGCGGCAGCGACGCGAGCAGCGGCTGTGGCCACAGCTGATCATTATCCATTATCATTTGTCCATTTTTCACATCCCACACACAATCGTGATCAATGGCGATAAAACCAAAAACAAAATGCGGCAAAAGAAATCAAGAGAGTGAAAAACAACCAAAGAGAGACAACAAAAAGATAATGGGTGGGTGGGGGTGCTAGACTTAACCCTACAAGTATAACTGTTACTGGTACACCGATTGATCCCAAAAACGGTAATGCAGCTTCTTTCAAAATCGAACACTAGAGATCTATAATAAGGTTCAACATGCTTCTAAATAATATTTTAAGAGGTAAACTAAGGTAAAAGCAATAGGTAAAAAAATCATATCAAATATTTCTATGTATGCACACAAAAAAGTGTTCCCGTAAAATCGATATGGCCATGTAAATTTCAGGTCATGCAAAACCCATATCGTTTTTACATGAAATACTCTTTTCGACCAGGTCAAATTTACCTGGCCAAATATCAAATTAAAATTGACCTTAAATAATGTAAAATCGAACTACGTTTCATATCGATTTTTTTTGGAGTTACCAAAAATTAAAGAATAAACTATTTAATACATTTCAAACGCTGCATTACCGTTTATAGGGATAATCAGATACTAGAGAGGAGGAGCACTAGACACACTCGTATGATATATGGATAGCTGGTTCGATAAGTAGTATATATTAAGGACTCTTACCTGTGTCGCCATCACCGTATTCGGCCATCGAATCGGTGTCGCTTTCCACGCCGGGTTTGTTCGCTGAACTCACGGATTGGCGACCAGCGCTCTTGTTATCCAACCTGTAATTTAATATGAAATAAACATTAATCGATTTGTTATCGAAAATAATCGAAATTATAAATGGCCAATTGGTTATGATACCGAAATTTGGATTTGCATCTTTTTTTAATTTTTTTTTTTTAAATACAATAAAGATCGAATCGATATCCAAATATCATTTCGGTATTATTCCTCTGTACATGCACTTATGTAGGGAACTTACGGTTGCGAGTACTCGTGGAAGCCGCCCTCTTCGGGATAATCCCGCCGGCCGTTGGCCAGCTCCCGATCGTGAACGTCGTACTTGCCGCCCCGATTGCGCCGGATAATGCAGATGATGATGAACAGGATAATGATGAAGGCCAGGGCCAGCATCATGCCGATGAACCAACCTGCATTCGCCACCGTCTCGTTGGGCTGTATGATCGGTCCCTCGACGGTGTTCGTGTCGATCTCCTGCGTGGCACTCTCCGTATTGAAGTGCCCATCGACGGAGACCACGCGGAACTCGTAGGCGGTGTCTGGATCCAGGCCGCTAACCTCCTGGTAGTCGGAGTTCTTCTCCTCGTCCTTGCGCAGCCACTGGGTTTCGCCCTTGATCCTGGGGATTAAATAGAAAATTAATATACATCCAAAAAATATATGTAGTGCTATATTTAAACCCTACCTGTACATGGTGAAGAAGTGAGTGCCCGGGTGACCTTCCTGACTTGGCTGCCAGTTGATGCGGAACTTGGCCAGTCCATTGTCGGAGGGCAGTTGCTCCCAGGAGAATGAGGGCGTGGCCGGGGCCACATTGATGGCGTCCTTCAGCGTCGTCTTCTCGATGTAGTGCCTGTGGAAAGGGAAAAGGAATGAGGTTTGAATAACAGTATATATCCTATTAATCCCCATTTATAATTTATTGTTTTAGAAACTTTTGAACTAATTATAGATAATTTGTTGCTGACAATATTTCTTAAAAATACTACATAGTAGCTAAAGTTTTTTTTATTTATTTATTTTTTTTTATTTATTTATTTTTTTATTTTTTTTTTTTTTTTTTATTTTTTTATTTTTTTTATTTTTTTATTTATTTTTTTTTAATTTTTTTTTTTTTTTTTTATGTTAAACTTACTCAGATCCCTCGCCCATTTTCGTGGTGGCCGTGATGGAGATGCGATACTTGGAGTTGGGCTTCAGACCGGCCATCTTCATGCGCGTGACCCTGGGATCGGTGATATGGGGATCGTACTCCCGCCGCTCGCCCACATAGCTCTCCTTGACCTCCTCGTAGTAGATCTTGTAGCCGGTGAGCTTGCCATTGGGATACAGCGGCTTCTTCCAGTGCAGCATGAAGGCCGAGGAGCCCAGTGGATAGGCATCCAATCCCTGGACCGGCGACGGCACACCCTCGGGTGTATCGAAATCGATGACCGCACTGGGCGGCCCATTGAAGCGACCGTTGTAGGCCAGGATGCGGGCAAAGTTCTTCGAGTCGGGCTTAAACTGGGTGACCAGGGCGTTGTGCGTATCGCCCTTCACATGGATCTCCCGCAGACCCTCCTCGCCCTCGTTCTCCGTCCACGTCTGGATCTTGTAGCCCTTGAAGTGACCCCTCACCGACTCCTCGCTCACCGGTGTCCAGGCCATATAGCCGCTGGTCGACGAGGTGATCTGTCGCATCGTAAAGTTGGTGGGCGCGTCCAGGGGACGATCCTCGCCGGAATAGCCGACCACCTCCTCGGCGGCCACATTCGATTCGCCCTTGTCGTTGATGGCCACCACCTTGATCAGATACTTGACGAACGTCGGCTGATCGGCGATCACAATGTTGTTCTGTCGCCAGTCAAAGATGTTGTTATTCTCCCACGACGCCGCCGGAATGTCGCGTTTCCAGCTCACGTAGTAATGGAAATTGGGCGCATTGTGCTCGATCTCGGGCATGGGAGTCCACGAGATGACCAGATTATTCGGCTCGGTGCCCTGGCCGACGACATTGTCGGGATTCTTGAAGGGCACATCCGGCTGGGTGGTGCAGCTGTCGCTGTGCGCCGACGGCGGCGAGGCACCGATCTTGTTGAAGGCGATCACACGGAACGTGTAGTTGGCCCACGGCGACATTTGGACAACGAAGGAGGAGTCCGTATTGGGCACCTTCTCGTACGCGGCATCCCACGAGGCGGGCGTGAAGCTCGTATTAAACTGAATGGTGTAGTGCAGAATGGGCGAGCGGTTGTCGCCCTGCGGCTCCCACTGAATCTCCGCCTTGTCCGCCTGGCAGGTGATGCCCGTTAGTTTTGGGGCATTCGGCACATCCTGGACAATCAAATTGGCCCTGGCCGTTGCCTCATCCAGTCGCGTCCTCGCCACACACGTATACTCGCCCGAATCCAGCTCCATGGTCTTGGCAATGGTCAGCGAATTGTCGTTGGTCTTCACGAAACGCGGCTGCGCCTCAAAGTCAATCGACTGCCCGTCCTTCCACCAATCGATCTCGATCTCCAGCGTATCGTCGTGCGCCTCGTTGCAGCGGAATGTGGCCGACTGTCCGGCGGCCACCTCGTAGTTCTGCGGCTCCTGGGTGATGCGCGTGTGCTCCTTGACCACCAGCGACCCGTCCGCCTGGATCTCACCGAACTTGTTCTGCGCATAGCACGTGTACTTGCCGGCATCCGAGAAGGTCACGTCCTGGATCTCCAGATCGCCGTTAGCCTGAACATTGTAGCGACCGCCGGTCAGCCAGTTGCTGGCCCTCAGCCACTTGACCAGCGGCTTGGGGGATCCCTTCACGCGGCACTTGATCGTGATGTTTCGCCCATCCACACTGGAGACGTCCGAGGGGGGAACTTCAATGGTTGGCGGCTCGGCCTGGACATTCAGATAGACATCCTTGTAGACGTAGCCCAGCGAGTTGGTGGCGTTGCAGCCGTAGTTACCCGTATCGCCCTTGACCAGATTAACGATCCGGATCGTGTTGTCCGTGACGGTTCGCCGGGGATTCGGTGGCGTCTGCTCGATGGGCTTGCCATTGTGAATCCAACTGATCTTCGGCTCGGGCACACCGGCGGCGCGGCACTCGAAGACCACCTCCTCGTCCTCGGCGGCGGTCTGGAAGTCGGGTTCCTTGGTGAAATACGGCACCGAGTTGACATTGAGGATGATCGAGAAGGACTGGGCATTGCCGACGCCGTTCGAGACGTCGCAGGTGTAGGTGCCGGCATCGTCGAAGTTCGTCTGCCTGATGACCAGCGACTTGCCGTAGTGTCCCTGGGTGATCCTGTCGCTCCACTGTATCCGCTGGCCATCCTTGCTCCAGACGGTCTGCGGCAGCGGAGTGCCGCCGTAGATGCAGAAGAGTTCCATGCGCTTGCCGCGCAGCGCCAGCGACTGGCGACGCGAAACATACTGGCGGACGGGCTGGTGTTTGTTCTGCGAGGCACTCACGCCCATCTGCTTGACGTCGAGCAGCACCTTGTTGCCGATCTTGTACTCGCTGCGGAAAACGGAGGTGGCCGAGCAGGCGTAGTAGAAGTCCGAGCTGGCATCCTCGCGGGTCACGTTCGAGAACCAGAGATTGCCCTCGGGATCGAGGGTCATGCGCGAGTTGTTGATCGACTTGATGCTGCCGTCGATGGACTCCTGGATCATCCAGTTGACGGTCGGACTGGGAAAGCCATCGGGGGCGGCACACTTGAGCATGAAGGGCTCGCCCTCCACCGCCTCCAAAGTCTTGGGCATCTCGTCCTTGAAGGCATTCAGCTCCGCCTTGCGCACATACACCGAGTTCGAGGTCGCCGTTCCGAATTCGTTGGACGCAAAGCACTGGTAGTGGCCGCGATCCTCGTCCTTGGGTATGGTGATCACCAGGGTGCCGCGGCCAGGCTGTCGCAGCATCCGGTTGTCGTACGCCTGCCAGTCGAACTTCTTGCCATTCTTCACCCAACTATATCTGTGGGAGGAACAGAGGAAAAGCAGGTGGTTAGTAAATGTATTTCGACTGCAGATGACGAAAAGAGGTTCCTTAAATTGTGGAAATATTTAACTTGGATATAAAATTAACCCTAAAAGGGATGATCGATTTTTTATTGTTTCCTATTTAAATACTATACAGAAAAAAAAAATAAAATAAAAAAAAATTTGATAAAAAAATAATAATAATAAATACAAAATATATAAAATAAAATATATAAATATTTTTAAAAAAATATTTAAAACAACATCTATTTTAATATATAGAAAATGTAAAAAATTCAACAAGTTAAAAAATCGATGTGATAAGCTTATTAACTCATTCCTACATACCAAAATTCCACAATGAGCTCACAATAAATAATGAGTCAATCAATTGCATTTTCTAGTAATTAATAGTAAATACTTTTCAAATAATTTCATTTAATTCCGAATACATTTTGTTGCCTCAGCACATTCACCATTATCGCTCTGTCAGACTATCTAATCCCATTAATTGTTTATTTCAACATAATCCCCATTTCCCGAACCGAACCCACAGTTTTCCGCATTTCCTCACTGGCAATCGAGACTCGACTCATTAAGATCGCGACTCTCTAACAACTTAATTTCCACATTTAATTTCGCTTAATCAACATTTCTCGAGGCGGCTGAGAGCAAAGAGGAAAATTAAGCCATTTTTTATGCACAAATTATGACAACTTGTTTAATTTCCAATTGCGAAAAATGTGGATTAAAGTGTGTTGGAGGGGGGATTATTGAGGGGGTGGCAGATTTCAGCTTGTTTCATGTCTCAAGTAATTGCAATTAAGCGGCAAAAAGGAAGTCAACGAGCTGAGCCCATTTTTTGCTGGTATATTAGTAAAGTTTGTATCTTATCTTGTATCTTGCTTCTTTTTCCCTGCGGTTCAGTTTGCAACTGTCACTATGCCACAAGTTATAGATGTACTATATATGGATTTCAAGGAAGGTGCAGTTGAGGGTAAATAAATAGGAGCTTATATTTTAAAAAACTTATAAACATTTCTGGACCTTTGCTTTAAATTTATGAAGATATTTAAGCTAGGCCAATTTAAAAGATATTTTTTTGATTGGTAGTAATTATGGTATTTATCATCCGAATATCAAACAATATTTATTTATTATTTATAAATTGTAGGGGTTTGTTATCTTAAGGTTAAGTTCTGATAAAAATAAGCCATGCTTATTGTAATTAATTTTAATTCTCCCAGATCTTACTATCAATCTCACCGCAATTGTGAATAGTTCTAGACTTTTGTATACAAGTATAAAACTCAAAAGCTCGAGTCAATTATGCGGAGAAGCCGCGCTGCTTGAGCTTGTTAAGCATCTTTTTTTATTTATTTTTTTTTTGTTTGCCATACTTTAGCAGCATTTTCCCCCACTTTTCAGCTCTTCTCATCGCATCTTTTGGGGCTCTCGGTCTTGACGACGGGTCATGCAATAGGTCAATCGTTTGAATTGTTTTTAAGTGTTGTAAGTTGAACTGCGAAGAGAACTCTGGAGCATTCGGTGGGTTTGTTGAACTGCCGAGTGCAGAGTGAGTGATTCATGGAATGCAGATTAAGAAGTCTCCTTTTAATTGGCCATTCAAGTTTTCAGTCTTTAATTTAATTAATAGGAATTTAGTTAAGTTTAGTGTTAAAGTGTGTCAACCCCTTATGTTCTGGGGTTAAAAAGTCGAACGAAATGAGACAGCAAAAATGCCAGGATTTCCATATCCAAAGGACACGTGCATCGAAGGTAGAAAACAGTTACCAGTGACACATTAAGACACGGCAGCACCCCCGTTGATCCCATGAACTCCATACATTCTAAACTATGCACCCAAACAAACTGCTCGGCGGGTCAATAAATTGCCGGCCAAAAGGCTAAAAGGAATAGAAGGATACAAGGATACCAGGATAGGCAGTCAAGCGTTAAAGCACAACGTCTGTCGCCATCGCTCGACACCATCAAAACTTTCCACCTACCCACATACCATTTTATTATTTTACCATTTTACCATTTTAACAGCGAAGCGGTCACCTGAAACGGTTGCCAAAGACAACAACTAACTAGCCAGACGACAACAGCTGCTCGGCCACGCCCACACAGTCACGCCCCCAGGAATTCGCCCATTTGCAAGTTGAACGATTTGTACATTTATTCTTATGACTTTTTTACATGGTATCTGGATTCCTTAAGGGGTGTTGGGATTTTTTTATAATATTTATAATATAATATTTTATAATATTTATCTAGTTCAAAAGAATTGCTATCAGAATTTTTGAATATTTTGGGTTCGACTACTAAGAATTCAATTAATAGTATGGATCTCTTTCTATTTCTATACCAGTTGATCTTCCCGTTTTAAAAAGGTTATATTTAATTATTTATTATATCGGACTTTTATATTATTTGGCTTGAATTCGAAACAGTACAGAAATAAAACCTAATCAACCCATTTTATATATTAACACAGGGTATTATTCCAGGTTTCTTTATCTACTCTCCTTGTTTTCTGCCCGTTTTTTACTTGGCTTTTGTTTTTTGTTTGAAGCAGCTGCTGGTAAAGCTCCTTCACTTTACTCTTTTTTTTCTAGCTCGCCACCACTTAACCCCAAAGTGCACTGATAGTTTTAGGGTTGACTTCATTGGCTTCACTTAACTTCGCCACCACCCCCTTTTTACCCCCTCTTGTTTTTCCTTTGCTGTTGCCTTTGCCTTTGCCAGCCTTTCATAGCGATAGAAATCTGAAGGGAAAATGCGCCAAGAAGTGCCAGGATATGGCTGCTGATGACTCATCAACCCGGCTAAAACACACAAGCACACACACACTCACTCGCTGCTTTGCATATTTGTGGGTGGGGTTGGGTGTGTTTATGGCCGACGAGCTCCATTTCTGCATTATTTTTTGGGGTTGCAAAATAACAAAATGCCGTAGCATACTTTTTTGCGCGCTCACTGACGAAACGAAGGAAAGTGGACACAGTGAGGGCAGATATATACACATACACATGTATCCATAACCCAGTTATATACATATACACAGTAGACATACACATGAGAGCATTTAACTAGGATCTTGAGAAAAAGATACATTAATAAATAAGTACAGAATATATGAAGAATTTATTTTTAATTTATTTTTTGCATTTTTAAATTTATTATTAAAATTATAATCCCCTTAAAAATTGTTTTCTTTTTTATTTAGCAGTACAGATTAATTTTGTAATATATTTAATTGTGAAGAACATCTGTTAATAACAGACTGTTACGATTTTATATAAATTAGTCAGAGATTAATGCTTTAAAATGCCTATTATTGTGACCGCAATTGTGGATTTTCCGCGCTAAAGAAAAGGAGCCAAGCCAAAACCGCTTTTAGCCAAAGGGAAAACACTCAAAGAGGGGAGAAACGTGGCCAAAAGGGGGAGGCGGGAGGAGAAGTGGGGAAGACGGCGAGACAGTGGACAGAGTAGCGGATGGATGGGGCCTTCTGGGGAGGGGAGCAGACCAAAGTTAAACAAAAGGACCCAAGGAGGGGCCGAAATGAGTATTAGGTCTAAGAAAGCCGCATCCTGCACTTAGCCGCATATAATTATACCCTAGGCAACAGGTTGAAGGCGGCGCTTTATTAGCCATCGGAAAATATTGATCCAACAACAAATGAGCACACACCACACACTCCGGAAACATCCCATTGAGACATCAATTTATACATTGATTTGTGGCCCAAGGAGCTAAATAATAACTATAAGTAATCTTGGAATAATATAAAATATTTCAATTTATTAATACTAATTGTAATACCAATTATCTAATAAATAAATATTTTAGCATAATTAATTTTCACCTACTTACAGGCACATGGGTGCATTTATTTTAATTTATACATTTTTTTTATGGCTCTCTGTGATATTGCGCTTAGAACATTTAAATTAATTAGGCATTTCTTGTATTTCATTACCCAAATTAGTCACGTTTTCCACATTCCCCTGAGACTTTAGGGTACATTGGCTTTTGGCTTGGACTTCTTTCAGAATTAATTCCATGAATTTTGTCGGCGGCGGCGGCCAAATGGCAAAAAACTTTAAATGGCCTCCGGGTTTTTTGTTTTTGTTTTTTTTTTTGCCAGGGGTTTAGGGGTTGGGGTGTTAGAGGAAATAGAGGAGCTGCCGACAAGGGTTGGCCCAAGGACCAGAGTCCATTGTAGAGAACAGCAGAAAGCTTTTTCGGCTAATATCAAATCGTGAAAAGCAGCAGGAATTAAAATTCGCAAGAAAATGGGAGTGTTTGCCCATCATCATCGTCAGTTTTGTTGACATTTTGTGCATGTCAAACGTTCAATGACACCGAAAAACACTACAGTGCAACTTCCTTAAATTGAACAAGCGTAAAAGTAAAAAACTTGTATGTAACCCAAATAAATAGGAAGTTCTCTTTTAAAATATTGCCTGCATTTCGTCATAAAAAAAGGAAAAACAGGACAGCGGGCGGAAGTGGGAAAAGCGGAAGCGTCTCCAAGGTATCAACATACTATAACAACAATACGAAACACGAAAATAGGACATTGGACAATCCGAAACGGGGGAACCACCGCTCATTAATGGCCGGCAAACATGCAAACACAGCAACAACAATGTTCGTATAGTTCGATGGCAGTCCCGAAAAAGGAGCAGCAGAGCAGGGAAATGCAAAAAGGGGGCTGTAGGTGGCACACGACCTGCGACCTGTGACCTGTGACCCCTGGCATGGCAACAGTTGATGGATGGGCCCAAAGGAGCGAGCGAGTACGAAAATTAGGTGTGACAACGACCCCAAGGGAAAGGAAAAAAGAAAAAAAGGCGAAACTTGTAACTTGGGAATCTCCGACCCACCCTAAACTGTCCACTCTAATAATGTTAACTAAATCATTCCGCTTTTGTGGGACAAATTATGTAATTCCACGAACATTCCATGCGCGAGATTAAACCA